ATATACGAGGCGTTTCTAACCCTGCACAGCCATTCAGTTATCAAAATAGCAAACACTACACCAGTAAACAAACAATGATAAACAACCTGGCTGGCGGCCATGGACTAGATATCCCCAACACCATGTGATATCACCCACGGCAACAAGTTTGCTCATTTTCACTAGAAGAGAGACACATTATTCCAAAAGATGATGAACACAATTGAACAGAAAAGTACCTTGACAAAAACAATTAACAACCCAAATGCGCACTTTTTAAAAAAACAAAAAAAACGAATACGGCCAAACTTACAACAACAAGGAATGTTTTCTTAATCTTTGTTTATGCCCATTTGAAAAAAAAACAAGTTGCTGAAAAAAATTCTTATTCATTAAAATCAATAAAATATATGAATGCAATACCAGAGATCACACAACATGTACTACAGAAGAGTGAGTTGGGTTTAATGCCACTTTTAACAGTATTACAGTTATATCGCGGCATGTCAGCTTAATGTGGGAGGCAAGCCAGAAGTGATGCAGGTCTCAGACGTTTACCACTTCATTGAAACCCATGAGCACGGGTATGCTGCTGACAAACCTAGAAACATAATCGGGGCGAACCAGGGTTTGAACCCACAATCATAGGTTTCTGGCGCACCCAAGTAATATGTAACATTTTTTCATGCCCCCAATACATTTAACATTTTTTCATGACATCCACCACCACCTATAAACGACCAGTCCCTAAATACTGTACAAATTTATGATTTTTCTGAATGAACAAAAATAGAACTGCATCATCTTTTCGTGCCCCCCTCTTTTGCAAAAAAAAGGATGGGATGTTTGCAGGGTATGAAACTCCCCAAAATTTCAGCCAGACCACAGGACTGGCTAGCTGAAATACTTGCCAGCCCTGACCAAAACCTGCCTGCCCACTATAATCATATGTTTCTCAGGATAAGCTAACAGGGTTTCTTTTTGGTTACATTTTATCATTCATCTTTACATGTGAATTAATGCTTATCATCAGGAAATATTTAGAATATTTTCACATATGAAATATAACCTGACCGTCGGGCAGGGGGATTTGAAAATCTGGCAGCCCGAGATGAAATCAACCCGTCTCGGACGGTCGGGCAGGAAGGTATTTCGAACACTGATGTTTGTTTCTTTGCTGCCTATGACCATACACAGCAATATTCCATTATGACAGGTGCCTGTAAATAATTAAGTGACTGAGATCGACCAGACGAAACAGTGATCGATACTGTGAACAACAACCTATGCTGTCCGGGCACGATGACATGCAATCAACCATGACACTGAGCCTGATCACCCGATCCATTCCCTCCTTCAACAAGCATGGGGACTGATTCGAACAAGCCATCCTAATGGGTTCAGAGCTTATGAAGCTAGCCTCACATTGTTCAAAACAACACTATTATGAGTGGAGTGAGTGATTATAGTTTAACGCCGCTTGTAGCAATATTCCAGCCATATCACGGCGGGGGACACCAGAAATGGGCTTCACACATTGTACCCATGTCAGGAATCGAACCCGGGTCTTCGGCGTGACGAGCGAACACTTTAACCACTAGGCTACCCGACCGCCCCCAATACCACAATGCAGGGCTCGATATAAGGGACTTGATTTATCCTGCACCATGTGTATGTTGACATGAGAATCTAGTTGCACCAGACAAAACCAGGTTGCACCTGGTCCCATAAATTAAACAAAGTTGAAACACAGATCCATGAAACTTAAAGTAAAATCACAGATCTCCGATGACAGTGTCCTATGTGATGTATATCATAAAACCGACACAACACAGGGATTAGTGATATGACCTGGTAAATAAAATTTAGAGACACTGAGTTTATTCAAAGATTGATGCTGTGTAAGTAAAGGTCGGTCTGACATAAGTTTGATTTTTTTGCACATGCACTTGGTGCATGTAGACATAAACATGATAAATATTAGGTTGCATTTTTCAATAATATGTTGCAATGGTGCATGTTTTATAGAGCTAAATCGAGCCCTGCAATGGATGAAAATAAAGGCAAACATTTTATTGTAAGTATTTATATTTGCAGTATATATAACATTTCCTGGACAATGCATAAAGGATTTTCCTTGGGATTCTATTTACATTGTCTATCTTGGCAGTTACATTGTCTTGCATCATGCGAACATCCTCGTGTCTGGCTGAGTGAGAGAATGTATAGTGTGCTGGCTAAAACACCCCCTTGCCTAAACAGCCCCATAATTCGGCCCAGCTCTTCATTGGTGGAAATGGCCCCATAAAAAAGACAATGGATATGATAGAAATTGGAGATTATGTGTTTAATCTTGTCCCACCTCATATGTTACAAACATTCAGGGTAAAATAGGTCTTCAGCAACCCATGCTTGCTGTAAAAGGCGACTATGCTTGTAGGAGGCGACTAACGGGATTGGGCTCGCTGACTTGGTTGATGCATGTCATTGTATCACTCAAGAGTTGTGAACACAATGTCTAATTGGGAATAGTTTAACTGTAGACCTGCATATGGCAAAAACTGTTTAGATACATATATGAAACCAGAGACCATATAATAGATTTATGGTCTCTCATGAAACGATCGAATCATGCGTACACCGATGTTAACTGAAGCATTATCTTTACTCAAACATATACAAGTCAAAAGGAATGTGTGCATCATCATAAAGAAATGGGAACATTAGCGACTTGTAGTGTAACCACTGAGCTCTAGCGAGTTTTTAAACAATATGTCAACGTGATTAACCACGGGTCCGGGTAGTACTATGGGTACCCGGGTCCTACCTAGGACCCACCCGACCCGAGTTCCCCTCCCAGCCCTAGCCTGATGCTAAAATTAATCCAGAAGGCAGGGGTAAGAAGGACATCCGTCCTAGCCCTATAGTCTGATAGTCCATGCTTTCCAAAGCAAATTCAGATCAATACTGGTAATATAAAACTAAGGTTTAAACATGTTAAAGTCTTTCTGACTCCATGCTCTACCCTGCTTCTGCTGTCGGTAAGGAAGGACACACTCCGTTCCTGTGTACCCTGACCCATTTCTCGTTGGGGATAATAAACATTAAAATTAGTACTGCTACTTATGAATAAAAAACAAACTGCAAAAAGGTAACAACAGATAACTGATTGTTTTTCATTGCTTTTAGAATAAAGAAGTTTATAATATGCATTGATCATGGTGATAAAGTCTTGTAGTGTTTTGGGTTTTTTCATTTCACCTGGTTGTGAAAAAGAGTCGTCAAAAACAAAAATGGTCAAAAGTCATTATTATTATTTTATTGTTAATTTCTGGGTCTTTGTGTTTTTGGTCTTATAAACCAACTAAAAGTACATAAATTGCCTTAATTTAACCTAATAATGGGTTGTAGTCAAAACGGCTTCAAAACTTAAAAGTCAAAATTGCCACAAAAAAGTCAAAATGGCAATAAAACCCACAATCAAAACGGACATAAAATAAGTCATACAGCCCCAACAAAAAAAGTCATAACGGCCACAACAAAAAATAAAAATAATGTGAGCAGGATGTGGACGGAGAATACATGTAAGATGATTATCCAATGTGAGCAGGATGCGCTATTAAATTGCATTAACTTCCAGTAGAGTTCATATGTTGTTGTTTTTACTAGTCTCATCAATTTACTTTGATCGCTGTACTGACCAGTGTACCAATCTCTTGTGAAAACATGAATAAACTTTTATTTCCCATGATGATACCTTTCAGTGTTTTTAGCTCAAACTAATCCATTTGTGAGTAGTAGAACTCAATGTCAACTTAATCATGTTAATTCATATAAAACATGCAGGATTGTGAACTTGCAACGTATATAAACAGAGCAAAGATAGAAATGAAACCAATGTACAAAAATAGATAAATGGGGGTTCACATAACACCATCAGAGCTGCTTAATATATGGGTTTCACACCCTGGACCAAGGGTTTAAATATGTGACATGTGTTGTGTAGTTAGTGCTGAAGATCTGTGTGTATACAATTAACGTGATGTGATCTGATCTATGAACTGTTATACAAGTTATATAATACAATTTATGCATAATACAACTACTGTGACACAATACTTGAGTTTGTCTTCTTTATTTTCTCTGTGGCTGTTATGACTTTTTTGGTGTGGCCCTTATGACTTTTTTGTGGCCGTTTTGACTATGGGTTGTGGCAGTTTTTACTTTTTTCTGTAGCTGTTTTGACTTTACCTTTTGAGGCCATTCTGACATGGGGCCGTTTTGACCCGCTTCCACTTGAAACACGTGATAGCTGGTTTGTCCCCGTTGTCGGCTGGTTTGCTGTTTTACGCCGCACTCAGCAATATTCCAGCTATATGACAGCGGTCCGTAAATAATCGAGTCTGGACCAGACAATCCAGTGATTGACATCATGAGCATCGATCCATGCAACAGGGATTGATGACATGCTTCAACCAGTCAGCGAGCCTAACCACCCGATCCCGTTAGTCGCCTCTTATGACAAGCATAGTCGCCTTTTACGGCAAGCATGGGTTGCTGAAGACCAATTCTTTCCCGGATCTTCACGGGTACCCCCTTGTCAGTATCCTGCCATCGGACATGGGATTCCATAGATGACATGTATAACGCTGAGTAATTGAGTATGGTTTTACACTGCTTTAGCAATATTCCAGCAATATCACAGCGAGGGACACCAGAAACGGGTCACACATTGTATCCATATCAGGAATCAAACCCTGGTCTTCGGCATGGCGAGCGAACGCTTTAACCACAAGGCTACCCTACCGCCCCTGTATAAGGCTGAAGGAATCATTCAACATACACATGTTACTTTACACATCTAAACAAGCACAAGATGATTGCGTATTCATAAACATTGCAAACATTTGAAGAGATATATCATGTGTGTCAGGTATTGTGTGGTCATGACAGATGAAGCATAGTTCTTAGACAATCAGACTTGGTATAAGTGCATCTGCAGGAGAACAGGAGAAAATTACCTTCTTGTAGTATACTCTCGGCTGACTCCCGGGATATTTTCTTGTGATACCAGACATTGTTTTCATCGGCTTTGGCCACTTCCCTATGGTCTTCTGAGAGAAGTTGCTCCAAGGGTTTTCCCGACAATAATAACTTGCTCACGTTTGCAGTCTTCAAAATATCACTGTTAGCATAAACGGTGCCATCATGAATCGCATCTCTTTCGTTCATATTGAATACCTAGTTTGCATATGTAGAACAAAATGTTTTCACATCCTAAACGACAAAACAAAATTACACTTCCTGGTTTATATACACTCTTAAGCAGCGCGTGCCACCTCCTTGCTGCTCTTCCGGTTAGACTAATAAAGTCAGAATGTGCGATCGCTGTTTGGAGTTTGGTCATGTGACCAGATAGGCTCCATCTCAGCGCTTCGTTCACGGTGTAGGGAACTCGATATAGTGTCACTGTGAGGAGTGTGGAACATCACGTCAAGACCTAACATGGCTGACGAGATGGAAGTCGACAGAGAAGCGGTCGAATCGGGACAAAAGCCAGAGAAAATGTTTACTCTAAAGAAATGGAATTTGGTAGCGATGTGGAGCTGGGATGTTGAATGTGATACGTGTGCCATTTGTAGAGTTCAGGTTATGGGTAAGGATAAAGACAGCTGCGTTTTCTAGCTATTTCTTCAACCAAAGTCATCGATCTCGATTTGCTAAGCAGCTGCCAGTATGTATGGCACTGACAGCGATATGTTTTCGTATTGCACCACACTGGTATATGTAGAAGCATTACACCCATGAATACACGGCAGTAAAATATACATACATTCGAAACCTATATCATGTTAATTGCTTTCGTATATTAGTCCTGTTAGTGTATCAAAACGTTTTTTAATACATTCAACCAAGCTAGCCCAAAGTTCTTATCCTCAAAGGGGGATATCTACAGTCAGTAATTATCACTCTTCGAGTCTATTTTGTTGTTATAAAATTCTCAACTATTTTCAAATATTTAAAACCAGTCAGTCCATTCTAAACATGCTAAAACACAAATAGGGTACTTTAGAAATCCTTTCTTTGCCTTTGTTCTTCAGAGATGGGGTTACAATTTTGCTAGCCACTCAAATTAAAAAAAAATCTGTTAACTGAAGTTTTATGATCTGGGTCTATCTAGATATCAATGATAACCCTGTTATTGGAATGATTGAAGAAAGACAAATTAAATGTTTGAATTTAACCACCACGTTGACATTTGCATAGGGTACTAAATATTATATCTGATAATTGTACCAACACAGGTATTTATCTAGACCTGCTCAGAGGCCGATATTCAGTCCAAGCCTGCAGTGCGTGGTTTAAGAATTCCTCAATCGGAATTAAAAATTTCCTAATTCATGTTAATATACAACTATACATAGTCAATAACTAATTTTATTGCCTTGTATGCAGTGTTGTAGAGACCTCTATTTCATTGATAACAAAATCAATATATAGGAAATGGTATTAACGCTTCATCTTACATTGTTGCATTGAATACATTCTCAAAATACTATGTTAAACATGTTAAAATACCTCTGAATTTCAGAAAATAAGAGCTAAAAGTAACCAATTTTGAACAAAATAAAGGGGAAAAAATGCAATTTTCTTGCCATGGCACTTAATTAGTTTAGAATCCTTGATAAATCCCTGTTGCATATCTTACATGAGCACCAAATCATGGAAAACCTGGCGCAAGTACAACCCACTAACTGGCATGTCATAGGGGTCCACTACTACCAGGAAATGATACTGGTCACAACACAATTTACCATGACCACACAACTTTCATCCAATCGAAGATGGTATGATTTAGAATTTTTTTGGTTGTAATTAACTATACTGAAAGTTGCTCATTTTTAGAAATTAAGGAACTTGTGTTTTCTTCCTTTTATCAAGTAGCAAAAAATTATGATGGAATGTTAATAATGATAACATTATAAAGAAAATATCAGGACTAAATGGCGCTGAATGTGAAGTGCCAAAAGTCAACAATGGCTGTCTCTGGTAGTTGAGTGCCTGGAAACTACTGAATGTTTTGATATTTAGCAAGCTGAGTAATTTTGCATTTCACACGTAACTTAAAAGATATACAAAGCCTACTCGTTTAACAGATATCATGGTTGTAGCAAGTTTCATTGGGGATGTCCTTTGACGATGCACCTGTCGAATAGGTTCAACAATAGCATTGAGAGCACCAATGTCTGATTTATATTTTAGTTTACTAATTACAAAAATTTGCTGAAAAATGTTTTTCAAGTAAACAAATGATTATATTGAGCGTATGTTCCCTTACTTCATGAAGCGGTTACTAGTATCCTTTTTGGCATACGTTTGAAAATGAGGAAATTTCAACTTATGGCACACGAGGAGGTCTAGTTGAAATAATGCCAATTCCTAAGTATTTGTCTTTAACCCGTGTTCAAGGAAACTAGAAGTGTGCTTGAAATACCGTATTTGACGTAATATGCGCCCGGGGTGCTTTCAAAATTAGAAATAGTGGGCTCTTATTAGAATATTAATTTGGTGAAAACAACAGAGTTGTAGGATACATTTCGTGGTTTATGCTGACAGCATGAAATGTTTATGTACGACATATATTTTTCCAGAATTTAATTGCCCATAATAATTGCATATAACCATGATAACAAATGAGTGCGTATTGTAAGCAAATAAATGTGTGGTGTACATTGATCAATCGGAAGGGGTGCTAATTGGGATTGTTCACTAGCCAATATATTAGCAAATATCACTGTGGGCGCTTATTAGAGCAGGGCGCTTTTTATGTTGAATACGGTATGTGTATGAACATGATGAAGAGAAACTAAAACCACATTGTTTTTCTCATGTTTACGGTCATATTTGTGGTCAGTGTAAGTAGCTTACTTGTGATGTTTTTTCATATGTCAACAAGAGTGTATGGATTCTTTTGGCAAATCAGACTTCAAGTGGGCCTCATTTGATCTTTTTCCTAAACCATGTACACTATTCACCATACAGTGTTCTGCTGAGGCAGTGGCCTCCGGAATTCCTACAATAATATATTGATCTATATGGATCTCGCAATCCATTGGTGACATAAATTTGTTTTTACAACAATTTCGTACTCGTGCTATAGATGCAGTTGATGCATGTCATCGTATTACAATTGACCGCCTCCATGGTCTAGTGGTAGACCGTGACATGGTATCTCAGTGAGCTAGCACTATAAATCGGCATCAGTCCGGTCTAGTACAAGCAGCCACACACACACACACACACACACACACACACACGTGCATGCACGACGCTATATAAGTGCAATATTCTTGGACGCGACGTTAAACCCAATTTCACCTCACCTCACCTCATATTCCAGTTGCGTTGATCGATGCTCATCATGTCAATCACCAGATTGTCTGACCCAGACTCGATTATTTACAGAAGCTGGAAAATATACTGCCGTGAAGCTGGAATATTGATGAGTGCTGCGTTAAACATGTTACACAAACAAAAAATTCATGCTGCCATTCAAATCATGTGTGCTTTGTATACATGTGAACTGGATTGAATTACACACCCCAGAAAGTCACTTGAACATGTTGAAGGTATTGGTCTGTTGCAATTATTAATATGCCCACAATAGTTACCCTGAATGTCATTCAAAGGAATATTGAAAAGTCAGTGTATGTCTACATTGTATATTTGTTCTCTTCTTGCAGATGCATGTCTGCGGTGTCAATCAGAAAACAAACAAGATGACTGTGTTGGTGAGTTTTCATAATATATAGTCAGAGTTACATTCCATGAGTGTGCCAGGATTCGCTTATCCTGGGCTCAAATCCTAGTTTAGTCCTTATTGTGATCTGTACTTTGTCAAGCCCATACACTCATGGGGAGACAGTAAGAATTGGTCCCCAGCAACCTATGCATGGTGGAGGCACCTTAATGGATCAGGGCGCCATTGTACAAGACGATCGTACCACTAAGGTGATCTTAACACCCATACCTTAACGTAGACTGAAGACAGTCGTAGCACTGAGGTTGCTTTGTACAACGGCACCCAGGTGGTCAGGTTCAGGTTGATTGCGTGTCATAGTTTCCCAGATACATGGATCGATGCACATGAGATCAATCACTGGATTGTCTGATCCAGACTCGGTAATTTATACCATATAACATATGGCTGGAATATTGTCAAATCCTGCTTTAAAGAACAAGGAAATAAAGAAATCAGGCCGAGTCGTGATTGAATAAGTTGTAAACAGGACATGATGGGAGGTTATGTTTGTCCATGTTAAGTTTTAAATGTCTCCAGATCCATTAAGCATATAACAACAAAGAAAATGTACGAGGTTTTCTGTCATTTTTATTCAGTTCCAGTTTGTAGCAAAATACATAATTACAAGCACTGAGAAATGGCAGCTGAATTCTGCTAGTCAATGGCTACTACCATGACTGAATTTAAAAAAAAATAATTTAGATTTGATTTAAATCCATGACTGAATTATTGTTTGTCCTCAGCACAAATTAGTAGTCCCAGCCCAGCGGATTTCGAAGGCTGAACATTTTTGGTTCTTGTTTCAGTGGTATGGGGAGAGTGCAACCATTCCTTCCACAACTGCTGCATGTCCCTGTGGGTGAAGCAGAACAACAGGTGCCCCCTGTGTCAGCAGGAGTGGGTGGTGCAGCGCATCGGGAAGTAGATCTCACCCACCCAGGATATATTCCAGCAGTACACACAGACTAGCCGACGTTCACCTTTTCACAGTGAGAGTCTTCACGGACAGGTCGACACAAGGCCACATGTTGTGTCGGGCATTCATGGCCTTCTCATCAATCTCTGCAATATTTGTCTACCATGTAAAGCAAATTTAAGTTCAGAAATGGATGGAAATATTAAACCAGTTTAGGCTGGGGTTTTTATATTGTACTCGGAGGTTTTCTGTTGGCCTCTGCTAAATAGACGTGGGTGGAGTTGAAAGGCATAAATGGTGGATGAATGACTACTTTTGTGATTTGAATAATAACAGATTCAAAATTTGTCTGTTTTTCCAAGACTAGTTTGAGTTGGTAACTTGAGATGTCTGCAAGAGGCATGCTGCACCGATGTGTGCTCAAGCATTGCGATATGTTTGAAATAATACAAAATGATGGTTTCCCGGAGCCTACACAATTTCAGTAACCTTCATGAGGTCAACAAAAATGATTTCATTCAATGTTTTTTGCCTATTTTGGGTTATGGGTGTCAGTTTGACCTTGCACATCGGAGGTTGTCAGCATCATACTTATATGAGGAATTTGTCTAAAAGACGAAAAATTTGTGTGTGAAACTATCACTTTGTTATTAAGTCATGGAAGTATAATGTTTTAGGATTTATTGTATCATTGTTTCAATGCAGAGTTGCATCCCTTTGTTTTCACAAGGATCTGCTGATCATTGGTTTGAAGCCCAGAATCACCACAATTAAGATCCTTGGTCATCAGCACCTATTAAACTTCAGTCTTTCTGTCTGCCAAACCCACATCAAGATGACTCGCCATGATATAAATTAAATACTGTTCAAAGCCGGGTGGATCTCGTGCTCGCTACCACAACTCAATGATCTGAGGACTTTCCATTACAGGTCCTGTCAGAAATACTTTTCAGCTTCACCATTGTGTGTGGATTACTAAGCATAAGTCCAACTGTCAAATGTCAGCACCATAAAAAAATAAGTTTATAAAAATACTTTATAACGAGTACTTCCAGCCATGCTCACAATGATCGATGGTGGAATCAAGTTGCTTGGATTTTAAGGTGGCTGACATGATTTGTTCACCCGATTTTCTGTCCAGTCATTTATGTTATTCAATTATCAATGCTGTAATAACATGGACATTTATATTATGTATATTCTGTGATGTGAATAAAACAACTGGTTTGATTTTGAAACCAGAAGCCATTAATTTCTTTTGTTGTGTCATATACTGTATTCGAGGTAATAAGCGTCCCGCTCTATTAAGCGCCCACGGCGATATTTGCTAATATATTGGCTGGTGAACAATCCCAATTAGCACCACAACCGATTGATCAATGTACACAAGACTTATTTTTTTGTGTATAATACGTGTGTTATGTGCATTCTTAATTGTGGGTAATTAGATTCTGGAAAAATACATCTGTCGTATATAAACATTTCAGGCTGTCAGCATTAACCACAAAATTTACGATCTTTAAACCCTGTTGTTTTTCACCAAAATAATATTCTGATAAGAGCCCCCTATTTCTAATTTTGAGAGCGCCCTGGGCGCTTATTATGTCAAATACGGTAATAAAGATTTTGTGGAATAAGATGACAGGAACAGGAGATTCAGGAGCAGTAAAGATCTCCAGTATCGTGTTATGGTTGAAAAGGTTACTCATGGAGTTACCTGGCAGGTACAGTGTTTGTTCTTCACTTAAGTGAGTGAGTTTGGTTTTACGCTGCTTTTAGCAATATTCCAGCAATATCACGGCGGGGGACACCAGAAATGGGCTTCACACATTGTACCCATGTCGGGATTCGAACCCGGGTCTTCGGCGTGACGAGCAAACGCTTTAACCACTAGGCTACCCGACCACCCTCTTCACTTAAGGCTTTCTTCTAAAATCATACAAACGGTGGGGTAGTCTAGTGGTTAAAGCGTTCGCTTTTCATGCTGAAGGCCCGGGTTTGAATCCCCACATAGGTACAATGTGTGAAGCCCATTTCCGGTTGTCCCCTGAAGTGATGTTGCTGGAATAGTGCTAAAAACTGTAAATAATCATACTCACTCACTCACCCACATCAAGCTGACATGTCGTGATGTAACAGGAAGATTGTTCAAAGCGGTATAAAACCATACTCACTCACTCACCCACCCACATAAGCTGACACGTCGTGATGTAACAGGAAGATTGTTCAAAGGGGTATAAAACCATACTCACCCACTCACCCACATCAAGCTGACATGTCGTGATGTAACAGGAAGATTGTTCAAAGGGGTATAAAACCATACTCACTCACTCACCCACATCAAGCTGACACGTTGTGATGTAACAGGAAGACTGTTCAAAGCAGTGTAAAACCATACTCACTCACCCACATCAAGCTGACACGTCGTAATGTAACAGGAATACTGTTCAAAGCGGTATAAAACCATACTCACTCACTCACCCACATCAAGCTGACACGTCGTGATGTAACAGGAAGACTGTTCAAAGGTGTATAAAACCATACTCACTCACTCACCCACATCAAGCTGACATAGCGTGATGTAACAGAAAGACTGTTCAAAGAGGTATAAAACCATACTCACTCACCCACATCAAGCTGACACGTCGTAATGTAACAGGAATACTGTTCAAAGCAGTGTAAAACCATACTCACTCACCCACATCAAGCTGACACGTCATGATGTAACAGGAATACTGTTCAAAGCGGCATTAAACCCAGGACACTCTTCTGGGTTTGATTCACCACATAGTTTTAATGTATGAAGCCCAATTCTGGTGTCCCCGTCACGATATTGCTGGAATGTGACTGAAAGCAGAGTATACACCATACCCACTGAACCCTGACAGCTTCAGAGGAGCAGTGATTATTCCACTTGTAACGGTCCTAGGTCCATTGCTTTTCCTACTCTTCACATGTAATTTAACACACATCCTTGGATTGTAGCTGACACTTAAATCATTGATTGCACCCAGCTTCCCGAGGAAGAGGTAGTTAACTGACTATAAAAGTCCAGTTTCCACCCTTGCCGAACAAGGCTGGTATTATGGAGTTACATTTTGGCTGGACTAACAAGTCTATGCATAGCCCAATAAAAATCGTGCAGATTTCGGTCGATTGCAGGATTTGCAAATCATGTGCACCACCAACTCGTCAGCAGATATTTTCCAAATCTTTTCATGTTTTTAATCAAGGTGCTCACGTGATTTGATGAATTTCACAATGTAAGACCCGTTTTATCACAATATAAATCTTGATTATCGATCAGATCGTCTTGACTGGGCGCCACAGTTTTGTGTGAAGCAAACACAAGTGATACGAGAGGTGGAATCTGATTGGTCCATAGGAGAGGCTTAGAAGGGACATAACTGGTAATAGCCACTGGTGGCGCTACGATCGAGCCCAGTAATTCCAGCCTAGTTCGGCAAGGGTGGAAACTGGACTTTCAAAGTCAGTTTACTCGCGTCTCGGGAAGATGTGATTGCACCTGGACTCCATTCATCCATCCAAAGTCGTGATCTCAGTCCTTCGAGATGTAGTCCAGGATCCCAAACAGGTCCTAACATCTGCCACAATGCCTCCGTGGTGTAGTGGATAGAGCAGCAGCCTGGAAAGTGGAAGGTCAGTGGTTCTTTCCCCTAGTCTGTCCTACCAAACGCAATCTCATTAAAATCAGATCTTAGTTCTCTTCTTGCTACCACTAAACAAAGATTTGAGGACATCCCATTACGGGTCACGTCAGACCGACCTTGCGCGAACTCTGACTGACCAATGGAATGACCAATCAGAAGGCAGCTTTCTCGTGCTTTATGGCATTAAGTTTAAATTGGCGACTACGCTTTGAAACATATTTTGACAAATTCTCGATTACAAATTTGAAACCTAAACAAAAGAACATTCTGGAATGGTTAATAGAGGGTCTAGATTGTATGGATTCTGTCGTTTAACCCATAACTATTGTTCGGGAATACCCCGTGTTAAAGTTTTTGAGGTTGTATGATTAGATATCACATTCCGACTGTCACTTTCATGATCTGGCAAGCGACGCTCTGATTGGTTGAATGAAAGGTCGTTCTGACGTGACCCCTAATGCAGTAGCGAGAACTAAGGTCTGATTATAATGAGATTGTACCAAAAGAAGGTAAAAGATGGTACTCAACTTGAGGTCATTTTGTGTGGCGCTACCAGGGTTCGAACCACCTGGGCAGATGCTCTGTGCACTAGACCATGACGGCGGTCAGAGGAGAAATAAACAACCAAACCATGGTGTAAACCATAAATCAGTTTATTCCAGACGGATATAAATGAGAAGCAGATACATTCATATGTTCTTGTAGAAATATCAGATCCTGCCCTCTACGAGCAATACATCAGAGAAAATTTGAATAAAAAAAAATTGAGCCAATGAAAATAGATCTGACTGCAACATAAAACACCTACCATTTAACATATGTACTAGCTTCAAACAGGATTATTGCACATGATTTGATACAAGACGATACAAATCCACTTATGACATTATTGGGTGAAGAAATCACTTGAGCCAAGATACAACCCATTTCTGATCTTACATAATATTATCACAATATAAATTTCACATAAAATGAACTCAGATCTCAAGTTACCATTTTCACTCATATTGTAATAAAGACTAAAAATCAATAACATTCATTGGTACACTTGGTTAACAGAAACAAGATGATTTTGTGTTATTAACATCCTTACCACAGAGGACAATTTCTTGTGTTTCCATCAAATTCTATTTAGTACAGAGTTATAGATTTCTATGGGATTGCTGCACCCCTGAGTCACAACATTGATAGCAGGTCCTGTTCAAATTGTAAAGAAATTACTGGCTTTCTTCACACAGATGTAGCGTTACTTTTAGTATAACCTTAGTCAAGAATATTTAAAAAGTAACTGCCTTACAAATGAACCTAACATGTCAAAAGACACATTTCTTTCTCACTGAAGATATGCACCTTTCAAATCATTTCAACTTGAAGATATTTTACTCAAAGGTAGATCTACCAACTTGATAATAAGTTGTTTGAATTCTGAAATTTTCATAAAATGATTGTTAAATATTTTTAAAAAAAACTCCACTCACCAATACCTCAGGAAGTAAACAGACATTAAAAATGTTATTTTATTAAGACAGTGTACACCAATTGTCAATACTTCATGGATCGGTACACACTACCTTCCTCCATCACCGGTGGACATAAGGATATTGTCATCACAGATTGTATTGCTGTGAGTAGGCTATGTTTCCGAACAGGTCGTTCTGTTTCACTCCTGTGTGTGAAAACAGTTTGTGCACACACTGCTTTACTTCGCGGATACATATCTAAAAGCATGAAAAAAGCATGCATGTGCGCCACATGTCGACCACCCTGTGTTGTTGTAATTCAGTTTGGCTTTAGAGTTAGGATAGGCAACATCGTTCGACACACTGGTCATTTAGTGATCGTGGTCATAATAGAAATTTGGGAATTCAGAAACTTTGTAAATGTGAATTGAAGTACAATAGTAATTGTTTGTAATTGTTGCTTGAAACTAAAATAAAACTATCGTAAATAAATTGGTGTTTTTTGCCTGCCTAATTCACTTGTACTATTTCTGCTGACCAACCTGCATTGATATGAGTTTCTTTTCCACTCATGGACGTTAAACGAGACATTGCCCGGGATTGAAGCAACGTTTGTTTGTTGTTTAATGCCGCACTCAACAATGTTCCAGCTATATGACATCAGCCAGGTCTAGATTGGTTGTTTAAAAATAGTGACTTCACCCGAGCAGCCCAATAGGTGACAGAGGAACGCATTTCAACCGTCGAGGTATTGATGACGTCTACAACCTACCTACGAAATAGTTCAGTGACTGAATGTGAACCAACAAGTAAATTGAAACAATTACACGATCAAAACAGAGCAGAACATAATAAGGAGATTGTGTTGAACACAGCCATGACATCACAAAAGACTTCATCATGCATGCAATGCCATCAGCTTCTGCAACTGAAACACAACGTGACACTGAATCATGGGGAAATACTTCCTTCCTTCGTGTTAATCCTGAGACTGGTTAAACAATTAAGGCACAAGCTCTTCAAACAACACCAACTTGAATACCACACCAACCTAATAGTGTCAAACATACAGTACTTTGAACATAACATTTTTATAAGAGGACATACAAAAAGCTACAATTCTGCAATGATTACTAAACATCTATAAAGGCCACAAAATATTAATTACACGAAATGCTTTACAACCTGGCATCTAAAAAGGACAATGGTTGTGCTGAGTCAATTACAGTGAAAGAATATGATAATCCTTTGAAAAAATAAAGAAAAAATATTATTTTGCTAAATTCAATCCTTTAGAAAAAGCAATTATTTAGTGATGCAAGGATCCTGTGCTCGCACGTCCATACATCCTAGTAAGACACTCATCTCAAGGCCAATGAAAGCAGCTAATACCAGCATGTACACTGTCAGAAAGTTCGCTGTTGCTAGGCAACTCAAGAAAATAGATACCTATAAAGTAGAGCAGTTGTAGTCAAATCAAGCAGTTCATCACAAGCTGAAGACAACATTTTTTACATTGGTTATTTTGAATCACTCCATAATTTGCTATAGACAAATGTTAAAATTATCCTTAATATAAAGCTAAAAAAAGTCTTGGTTCTCAGGCACCACCTGCATCAGAATAAACTTTGCTGAATATTTTGTTTTTATTTCCATTTAAAAATTTATTTATTTTAAATCATTAATAATTCCAAGTCCAATGGTAGTCAAATACTGTATTCCAGTATTGTACTCATGAAGGAATACATTTATGTAGGGAGGCCCTTTCCCAGGTTGATTGTACACAACTGTTTGTTTGGTTACATATTAGTTGGAACAACCAAAAGAAAAATTAAAACAGCCTGCCCGCAATATATTTTCAAAACCCATTGCTTGAGAACCAATTCTTTTATTTTTTGAAGCCTAATTGATCTGAAATAACATGAAAACATACCAATATATATTCAGCGGAGAAGAAATGCTGAAGAAAGGCAGAGAGATCAATGTTAGATTTCAACAGCTGTACATATGCTACTCAAATTCCTATGTTATGTACACATCAAAACAGTCAATTCTACAGAGCGACAAAACAAATATGATGTACATGCTTACTTGAAGAGTGAATTCAGCTTTCATTGAAACATGGGGATGCATTCTGAGATCACAAGTTAACATTGCCAGATGAATTCAAATCATTTGTGATCAATAATCATTTGGCTGTTGTGTAATTATTGAAAACCAAATGGCTTAGTTACAGTGTTGTAATACATTGACATGCAATGATCTATAAAACATGTACTGGCATGTAAAGTGCTTAAACACGGGTATGTACTAGGCCTGGGACGTGGTACTCGGGTCGGGTGGTTCCTGAACAGGATCCGAGTACCCACAGGACTACCCGAACCCGTGGTTAGTCACATGATATATTGTTTAATGACAAAAACTCACTGTAGCTCACTGGTTTCAATTCAAGTTGCTAAAGTTCGCATTTCTTTCCGACGATGAACCCATTCCTTTGAATTGTATATGTATATTGAGATAAAGCTTCCGTCAACTTCCGTGTACGCATGATCTGATTGTTTGATACATGTATCTAAATAGTTTTTGCCAGGGATGCGGCAAAACAATTCCCAATCAGACATTTCGTTACCAAGGGTAATGGGGGGTTGGGTATCCGGGTAGTAAATGTGGACTCGTCCCTTCCCTAATTTGCACCCCACTGTGTCTGTGTGTGATGACTTACATATAAGCATCAGTGCTCAACAGTTATGTAATCTTAAAGAGTGATTGAGTTTATTATGCATTATTAAATGGGGAACAATATTTCAAAACTGAAATAACAGTGACATGTTTTACCCTTAACTCCGATACAATGACACCTGTCTCGTGACGAAGACACTAACAAAACCTGTCTCACGACAGACACCAATAACACCGGTCTCATGGCACAGATGCCAATAACACCTATTTCATGACACAGACACCAATAACATCAGTCTCATGACACAGATCACCAAAACAAAACAAATTACCCACGCTGAAAATGTGTGTCCCTTAATTATTAAAAAATGTAAAAATATGTGTTAAACCTTAGAAAATAGCATGCAAAACATCATGCATCACGTGACAGTAAAACAAACAATGGTTTCTTTTGCAATGACAATATAAAAGTGCTCTTGCCATTGTGTTAAACATTAATAATTCAATAGACAAATATTATCAATGGATGCCACATAGCTCTGCTGGTGTGTACAGTGACCATCATAAGCTTTCTTCCACTCATTGAGGGACATGAAAATTGTAAACTGAGGTCTTCGCATACCTTTTAAAATAAAAATAAATACAATGAATTCATTAACTTTTGAAATGTTTAGCCCAAGACATGTGAGAATTTGCCCCATGTATTAATGAAAACATTCCAGTATATCACATGATATACTGTAACAAAACATCAATATACAGGGTATAAATGAACTTTTATGACGACCTTGTTCTCATCATTGTGTAACCTTAACATAAGACACATTGTAAACCTTAACATGTTATAGTTGCAAACAATTGCAAGTAATGATCAAATTATTAATGGGAATTTCAAAAGTTTCTTTCAAACAGTTGTGAAGATTTTTACTGATAAATTAAGTACGTTGAACACTTCCTGACTATCTGCCTGGGCTTAGCTGCACAGTCCACAGACGTCAAACACAAGTGAAGATCCTTCTTGATGGTTTCACAGCTCTAACACTTGACCGAGGTTTTCAACAATTCCAAACTCAATGATGTCTGTTTCTTAACAACATAAAACAGATATAAACTCTAGTTTACAAATGCTTTAGATAAACCATACTTCCTACCTAACACCCCCAACCTACAAAATAGACTGTACTTATGCATATTCATTAGGGTCAGTTTGACATAGTATGTATGACTAAATATGGTAATCTAGTAACGAATCAAAAGGAGGATACATCTAGGCTTAAATGTACACAATACGCATGTTTGCAAATCCAAAAATGAATATTCATCATCATATTTATAGATTTGCCCTACTTTTGTGTATCAGATAGACTGGATTATTGTAATACTTTCACAGAAACAGGAAGTGCTCTAAATACCTTCAACCAGACTGATTAATCACTCAGGAATTTATATCTTTCAAAATCTTAAAGGAAATTATTACGCTGCTTCAGGAAGTTACTTAATTTGTATGAAAGATTGACAAAGTGATTTCACAGGCCATGCTTGTCATAAAACCTATGACATTTCAAACATATAATGAATTAAAAAAACTCTATATGTTACAGATATACCGGTATCTTTCTACAGTTTAGGGTTGTAACGATTCACCTTGCTGCTGTACCATATATACCTAGATAGAAAGCTCTTGATGTTAAACACAAAAGATCTTTGCCAGGTACTTGAGCAGGGGTCAGGCTGCTGGTGTGGGTGTGTTTGTTGTTTACAGCTACACTCAACAATATTCCAGTTATATGACAACAGCCTGTAAGTGATCAAGTCTGGACCAGACAATCTAGTGATAGATATTGCGAGCAACGATGATATGCCATCAGCCAAGTCATCGAGCCTGACCACCTGATCCATCAAGTCACATTTATGGCCAGCACAGGTAGCTGGGTCCCCTTCCTCCAAGTAATCCTAGTGCTACGATTGTCGTGAGTAAGTGTAGTTTATGGAAGTTACGATCGTCTTAGTGCAATGTGGGACCAATTCTAACCAAGACTGGGTGGGTTTAGGTGGGCTCAAGTCGTACAAGGACTCAAGGTCCTGACAAGGGCAGATAACTCTCATCTTTACTTCTCTAGCGTGTGTTGCAGGCATGGAGTGAGTGAGTGAGTGAGTTTGGTTTTACATCGCTTTTAGCAATATTGCAGCAACACATACGGACACCAGAAATGGGCTTCACACATTGTACCCATGTCGGGAATCGAACCTGGGTCTTCGGCATGATGAGCGAACGCTTTAACCACTAGGCTAAATGACCGCCCCTGCAGGCATGGAAGAAAAATGATAAATAGATGGTGCTAAGGAGAGAAGGGAAACTGTCGATTGTCTGACATGTTACTGTTGAAAGTGTTTGAATCCAGGTCGGGTTTTGAGACACAGCTACTTGAGTCCATTTTTGTCTACCAGTCAGAGATCTACGGTAATACACAATATTTGATACATACAAACACTACACATCTTGTCTAAAGGAGACGCTATCTATCAAAGAAAGCGAATTACAGAATTACAGAATTAAGCTGAATTGAAACTTTATCAGTAAATATGCAGAATTTTTACAAAGAGTGGCTTTAAAAACCTGTACATACCACGGAAACATTTATATATGATACAATACATGTATCATGGTACAAAGTATCAGGATACACAGATACTTCAGTGAATCATTACAATCTGAGATGAAGTCTACAAGTGCCATCACAGGGATCACCATCTACACATATACGCAGATATACGGTAGAAATATCTGCTCTACAGAAACAATAAATATGGGTTCCTGATCAAGGTGAGAAGTGAAATAAAAAATGTATACTAAAAAGCATATACATAAAAGATGAAGTAAACTAAAACAATTTCAAACATTTATACACTGACCTTAAACGCACTTTGATAATATCAAAGCTTTTAAAAGTTACACATTTACTGTGTTGATTTAAAAAGTTGAATACAGTGATTAATACAGGTATTAATATAGGTGCCAGTATATCACAGAAAACAACATAATCTGGGTGGTTGCTAATATCAAAGAAAATATTTGGTGTATATGGATGTCTAAGCAGGTCTTACAGAGGTGGAACAGCAACTGACACATCATGCTGTCATCTTGGCCAAAGGAGTGAGTGGTTTTACCCCCGCTTAAGAGCAATATTCCAGCAATACTGCGGCAGGCACACCACAAACAGGCTTCATATATTGTACTCATATGGGGATTTGAACCAGGGTCTTCGGTGTGACGGGCGACCGCTTTAACCGACAGACTCCCCGGTGTGGTGTGGTGTGGTGTGGTGTGGTGTGGTGTGCTGTGGTGTGGTGTGGTGTGGTGTGGTGTGCTGTGGTGTGCTGTGGTGTGGAGTTCAACATGTTTAATGCTACTTTGAACATTATTTCAGTCATATGACTGTGTGTCAGATTTATTTTCGATTTTAACTACTATGGTGAAACCCATGAGCGCGGGTGCTGACAAAACTTCAAACATAATCAGGGCGGACCAGGATTCAAACCCACAATCAAAACTTACTGGCATGCCCAAGGGGTGCAACTCTGCACAACGAAATGTAGTACCTAGGCAAGTGGGCCATTTCCTTTATATAGCTGGTCAACTTTGAGTGTGCACCGACAGAAAATTAAAATGTTGTATGAAAGTGATGGATTACATGTTGTATAACCTAATCCTTATCATAGGTTCCATGTCTATTTAAGGAACACTAATCATGTGTGCTGAATGAACAGGTGAGAAGGCCATTGCAGACAGCATCTCAACTATCTTGTTGTACTGTCTGAACATGTCCTGTCATTCTAATGTAAATGATCCATCTCCTTCTTGACATTCTTCTTGTCATTTTCAAAGTACATGAAATCCTGAAAGAAAATACAACATGTTTTAGATACACAAGCAATTTTGTGAAATCTGATTAAACTAAAACAAACAAAAAAATATACAAGGCCACAGCAACAAGTTTCTTGCTTTACAGATATAGAGAGATTATTATCCAGGGGTTTTCATATTGTAAATATTATATATAAGGAATAAAAATTGTATTGATACAAGGTTAATACATATTTATTATTCATATGTTGCTTTGTAGATATGGAGGAATTATAATAATCTGAGTGTGGCCATATTGTAAATATAATATTAGGAATAAAAATTGTATTGATACAAGATTAATACATATTTTTTATTCCTAACACATAATAGTTTAAGATACAGAAACACACATACAAGGATAATAACCTTTTTATGATATGTCATTCTTACAATAATCAATGTTTAAGGTACAAAATCACTCAATGAACTAACTTTAGAAACCGTGTATGAATACAAAGCTTGATTGAACCTCGCAATTCATCATATAGTGCCATCTAACTTGTTTGTCCATAGAAATATGGTGACACATTGAGAAACCCCTACCAAAGCAAATTGGGAGTGGAAGTCAAAAGTTTCATGAGAAAGATGTATATAGAGCTTGAATCTAGTTCCTGGTTGGTGGCCTCACTCTCATATTTAGCAGAGTGAGTGAGTGAGTGGGTTTGGTTTAACACCGCTTTTAACACTATTCCAGTCATATCATGGTGTGTCAGCTTAATGTGGGAGGAAAGCCCAATGTGATGCAGGTCTCAGATGTTTACCACTTCGGTGAAACCCACGTGCACGGGTATGGCGCTGACAAACCTAGAAACATAATCGGGGCGAACCGGGATTTGAACCCACAATCATAGGTTTCTGGCGTGCCCAAGGGACGCAACTCTGCACAGTGAATCGCAGCGCCTTAGACGACTGGGCCACCCGTGCCCCCTAGCAGATCAGAAGCTTAGGGCAGCAGGTGGTGTTGTTTGTCAGTAACCTTCATATTTGAACAAATAGAACTGTGTCCTTTAGTTCCAACAAACCTAAACAAACTAGGCCACTCCCACAAGCGAGCTACAGTTTCCTGATTGGTGGAACAATGTCACTGTTGTCTACAGTTTTTTGTGCTTATGATTAAACAAGAAGTGTGGGAAGTTTGTATTTATCACTTCATTAATAAGAAAGGACTTCAATGTGTCTTTGCATTCATGGAGGTAGAAACATAAAAAACGGTGTGCACACTGTGTAAATCTACAGTATGATTACCCCTATACAACTACATGTATAACCAAGACACTGATTGCCCCTTGATGCTGAGCTTGGCTGAATTATATCAAAGTGTCAATACTTGTCATAAACCAAGGAGGATGATTGATAACAACTTTATCACACCCTTTATCACATCCCTTATCACACCCGTTATCACATGTTAATATACTGTAACTATACAGTCTTTGAAATATGTTTGTGTGCATTTTAAAGAGCCTAAAGATCTATATGTCCCCTTTGTTAAATTGACACATTTTAGAAAATATGTTGCAATGCAATATAATTGCACATCCACAGAAGCCTTAAGCCTATTACGAATCAGGATATAAATGCTAGGCTGAAGAAAATCAACCGCTAACACTCTAACCTTTGTTTCTTAAATAAAGAGAAATTTCAATTATTTGTAAACTACAATTTACTGGGTTTTAACGACGTTCAGACATCCACAATACCGAATAAATCAAGAAGTTCCATGACAACTGAGAAGTAACTATTCACGAGAACACTCGGAATTCAAAAATGCAAAAGTTGTACTGGCAAATCTGAATGAGCTTTCTTCTAACAAGCACTGGCCTCTTAACACAGTACTGTATGGTGTTGGTTAAACAGACAGTTGACAAAGACGGATTCATTGGATCAAAAAGCTGTCTTTTAGCCAAATCCTGCTTATATCCACCAGCCCAGCTAAATTTATATATTGGTCACTCAACTTGCTTGACAAAATTTCATACAAGAATATAAACTTTTGCCCAGCCCATCATCTGTTTCAGGCTAATAATAATCGTGTGTGGACTACATGATCTAGTGATTGATATTGGGAGCAACGATCCATGCAATTGGGGTACAATGATGTATCATCAACAAAGTCACTGCCCATTTAGTCGCTTCTAGCATAGCAGGACGCCGTTATACAAAACAACCTTAGCACTCTGACTGTCGCGAGTCTATGTTAAGATATGGGAGTTCGGTCACCTTAGCGCTGAGATCGCTTTGTACATCACCCTGTTCTAACCTGGAGCCTCACAGAGTGAGTGAGTGAGTGAGTGAGTGAGTGAGTGAGTGAGTGAGTGAGTGAGTGAGTTTAAGCGCATACTCACAATGAGGAAGATTGCTCCCAACATGACAGCCTTCATCTTGACGTCCAGATCCATGGGGAAGGAGATACCGAAGTTGTCAGCATCCGTGAATACCTCCTTGGCCAGTCCGGACCACTGCTTGGAGATCCTTCCCACCTCCGTACTGTGGTCAGCAGACGTCACCTGGAGCAGCAGAGTGAGACGGTTCGAAAGTCTGATGTTTTACGGTAAGTATATATTCAACCTAAACTAGGAGTGTGAAGAGTGAGACGGTTCGTAAGTCTGATGTCTTACGGTAAGTATATATTCCACCTTAACTAGGAGTGTGAAGAGTGAGACGGTTCGTAAATCTGATGTCTTACGGTACGTATATATTCCGCCTACACTAGGAGTGTGAAGAGTGAGAGGGGTCGTAAGTCTCATGTCTTAAGGTAAGTATATATTCCACCTACACTAGGAGTGTGAAGAGTGAGCGTGGTCGTAAGTCTGATGTCTTACAGTAAGTTTATATTCCACCTGAACTAGGAGCGTGAAGAGTGAGAAGGGTCATAAGTCTGATGTCTTACAGTAAGTATATATTCCACCTTAACTAGGAGCGTGAAGAGTGGGAGGGGTCATAAGTCTGATGTCTTAAGGTAAGTATATATTCCACCTAAACTAGGTGTGTGCAGAGTGAGACGGTTCGTAAGTCTGATGCCTTAAGGTAAGTATATATTCCGCCTACACTAGGAGTGTGAAGAGTGTGAGGGGTCTTAAGTCTGATGTCTTACAGTAAGTATATATTCCACCTTAACTAGGAACTGAAGAGTGAGAAGGGTCATAAGTCTGATGTCTTACGGTAAGTATATATTCCACCTTAACTAGGAGCGTGAAGAGTGAGAGGGGTCGTAAGTCTGATGCCTTAAGGTAAGTATATATTCCGCCTACACTAGGAGTGTGAAGAGTGAGAGGGGTCATATGTCTTATGTCTTATGGTATGTATATATTCCACCTTAACTAAGAGCGTGAAGAGTGAGAAGGGTCATAAGTCTGATGTCTTACGGTAAGTATATATTCCACCTTAACTAGGAGCGTGAAGAGTGAGAGGGGTCGTTAGTCTGATGCCTTAAGGTAAGTATATATTCCACCTAAACTAGGAGCGTGAAGAGTGAGAGGGGTCATAAGTCTGATGTCTTACGGTAAGTATATATTCCACCTAAACTAGGAGTGTGAAGAGTGAGACGGTTCGTAAGTCTGATGTCTTACGGTAAGTATATATTCCACCTAAACTAGGAGTGTGCAGAGTGAGAGGGGTCATAAGTCTGATGCCTTACGGTAAGTATATATTCCATGTAAACTAGGGGTATGCAGAGTGAGAGGGGTTGTAAGTCTGATGTCTTACAGTAAGTATATATTCCACCTAAACTAGGAGTGTGAAGAGTGATAGGGGTCGTAAGTCTGATGCCTTAAGGTAATTATATATTCCATGTAAACTAGGAGTGTGAAGAGTGAGAGGGGTCGTAAGTCTGATGCCTTACGGTAAGTATATATTCCATGTAAACTAGGAGTGTGAAGAGTGATAGGGGTCGTAAGTCTGATGCCTTACGGTAAGTAAATATTCCATGTAAACTAGGAGTGTGAAGAGTGAGAGGGGTCATAAGTCTGATGTCTTATGGTAAGTATATATTCCATGTAAACTAGGAGTGTGAAGAGTGAGAGGGGTCATAAGTCTGATGCCTTAAGGTAAGTATATATTCCATGTAAACTAGGAGTGTGAAGAGTGAGAGGGGTCGTAAGTCTGATGTCTTACGGTAAGTATATATTCCATGTAAACTAGGAGTGTGAAGAGTGAGACGGTTCGTAAGTCTGATGTCTTACGGTAAGTATATATTCCATGTAAACTAGGAGTGTGAAGAGTGAGAGGGGTCATAAGTCTGATGTCTTACGGTAAGTTTATTTTCCATGTAAACTAGGAGTGTGAAGAGTGAGAGGGGTCGTAAGTCTGATGTCTTACGGTAAGTAAATATTCCATGTAAACTAGGAGTGTGAAGAGTGAGAGGGGTCGTAAGTCTGATGCCTTAAGGTAAGTATATATTCCATGTAAACTAGGAGTGTGAAGAGTGAGAGGGGTCGTAAGTCTGATGCCTTACGGTAAGTAAATATTCCATGTAAACTAGGAGTGTGAAGAGTGAGACGGTTCGTAAGTCTGATGTCTTACGGTAAGTATATATTCCATGTAAACTAGGAGTGTGAAGAGTGAGAAGGGTCATAAGTCTGATGCCTTAAGGTAAGTATATATTCCGCCTACACTAGGAGTGTGAAGAGTGAGACGGTTCGTAAGTCTGATGTCTTACGGTAAGTATATATTCCATGTAAACTAGGAGTGTGAAGAGTGAGAGGGGTCGTAAGTCTGATGTCTTACGGTAAGTATATATTCCATGTAAACTAGGAGTGTGAAGAGTGAGACGGTTCGTAAGTCTGATGTCTTAAGGTAAGTATATATTCCACCTTAACTAGGAGTGTGAAGAGTGAGAGGGGTCGTAAGTCTGATGTCTTACGGTAAGTATATATTCCACATAAACTAGGAGTGTGCAGAGTGAGAGGTGTCATAAGTCTAATGTCTTACGGTAAGTATATATTCCACATAAACTAGGAGTGTGCAGAGTGAGAGGTGTCATAAGTCTAATGTCTTAGGGTAAGTATATATTCCACATAAACTAGGAGTGTGCAGAGTGAGAAGGGTCATAAGTCTAATGTCTTACGGTAAGTATATATTCCACCTAAACTAGGAGTGTGCAGAGTGAGAAGGGTCATAAGTCTAATGTCTTACGGTAAGTATATATTCCACCTAAACTAGGAGTGTGCAGAGTGAGAGGGGTCATAAGTCTGATGTCTTAAGGTAAGTATATATTCCACCTTAACTAGGAGTGTGCAGAGTGAGAGGGGTAATAAGTCTGATGTCTTAGGGTAAGTATATATTCCACCTTAACTAGGAGTGTGCAGAGTGAGAAGGGTCATAAGTCTGATGTCTTAGGGTAAGTATATATTCCACCTTAACTAGGAGTGTGCAGAGTGAGAAGGGTCATAAGTCTGATGTCTTACAGTAAGTATATATTCCACCTTAACTAGGAGTGTGCAGAGTGAGAGGAGTCATAAGTCTGATGTCTTAAGGTAAGTATACATTCCACCTTAACTAGGAGTGTGCAGAGTGAGAAGGGTCATAAGTCTGATGTCTTAGGGTAAGTATATATTCCACCTAAACTAGGAGTGTGCAGAGTGAGAGGAGTCATAAGTCTGATGTCTTAAGGTAAGTACAAGTAACATAAAACAGGGCCCCCAACTAAAATTCATTTGTATCTTGAATACTAACTGGGAACAAGCACTACATACTGAGGAAGATTTACCATGGAATTCAAAGAGAGTGAGTATGGTTTTACAAAGCTTTTAGCAATATTCCAGCAATATCACAGCAGGGGACACAAGAAATGGGCTTCACACATTGTACCCAGTTGGGGAATCGAACCCGTTTTCAGCAAGACAAGCGAACGGTTTAACCACTTGACTACCCCACTGCCCCATGGAATTCAAAAGGGAGAAACACTTTGGGTATTGCTAATTTAATTGGAACCTTTTTTGCCCAAACTGAAATAAGAATTCTACTTTAGTGTACTAATAGTCCTACTTTATTCAACTAATAGTTCTACTTCATTCAGCTACTAGTTCTACTTATTCAAATAAAAGTTCTACTTTAGTGTTCTAATAGTTTACTTTATTCAACTAATAGTTATACTTTGATCAACTAATAGTTGTACTTCATTCAACTACCGTATTTTCTTGAGTACAGTGCGCACTTTTTTTCCGAAACACACAGCTGTGTAGAAAGGGTGCGCATTATACACGAATTAATGAGTTTTGGTGTTTTTTCCCCCATGGAAAGACATTACTGTGAGCACGTAACACCGGAAATACCATGTCAACAAATCCATACTGAAGTATGCAAATTAGTCATGTAATTACACTGTCTGGCTATAAAAAGTGTTCTTTGTATATCTGGACTTATGTTTGTAACTTATTTTATTAATTTTATTCAAAATTCCTTTTAATAATGTTTTAATTAATTTCGGCAAAATCGTGTGTGAAGCGATCGGAAGATTGCACAACTCACCATTATTTAACAGCAACCACGGTCAGAATACCGCTATTGACGCCTTGAAACGAACTTTAGTTGACAGGGAATGGATACATATATCATAAATGCCATACTGTGACTCGTTAAAAGTCATATTTGTTTTTGTTTGACGATTCTATGTCAACACGTAATTCTCTGATCACGCGATCACATGCACGGGACTGGTCAGACTGGTTCCATGTAAAAATTAATACCCGGCAAAGGATCAGCTGCTTCGCTTTGGGTTATTATTATTTTAAATATGTTAAGTAAAAGCTGCATCTAAATTAACAAGATATTGGAATATATTATTCCTGATAAAAAAATAGTTTCAGATACAATTTTTGCCGATCCTTGCATTAAAACCCTGTAAAGTTATATCATTGGGTGTGTCTTGACCGAATCACCGGTAGATTCCAAGAAAACGTGTGTACAGCAGTTTACGAGAAAATACACATGGTAATCTTAATCCCTTGATATAAAACAATGCCTAGCAGAACAAAAAATACAATTTAAACGGTAAATCAACATGTCTGGTGATTTTTTAGCTCAAATTTCGAATTTGTACTGACCAAGTTTCTCATCACCCGTTCGTTTGCCGGACTTCGCTAAAGGGGTAGATCTCGGTGTAATTATTTTTCTGCGCTTGGTATTCGATTTTTTTTTATCCAAAATATTGAACCCGCTAGAGGGGGGTGCGCATTATACATGGGTGCGCACTATACTCAAGAAAATACGGTAATAGTTCTACTTTATTAAACTAATAGTTATACTTTATTCAACTAAATCTCTACTTTTAAGAACCTTATAACTAGTATTAACATGATAAAAGTTTGAAAACCAAGATGGGTGTGGTACTGTTAACTACAATTCTTCATTCATGTCTATTCCAGCTAGCAGAGTGTTATTTGCTTACATCAAACTCGACGTCGCCACAGATATTCCACTGGCAGCAGGGCCCCTTGATCCCCAGGATGGTCTGTTCATCCACGTTCTGGATGTAGAACTTGGGCTTACACAGATGCCAGCCCTGCTTCACGTAGCCGATCACCGTGCCGGGTGGGGCTTGCACCTCTATCACCTGCACAGCAAAACATACACAAACACTAGTACTGTTGTGATCATCATCATCATCATCACCATCATTATCATCATTATAACCAGTTATCATCACCAGTCATCATCAGCATCATCATCATCATCCATCAATATCATCCATCATCATCACCCATCATCACCAGTCATCATCAGCATCATCATCATCACCATCATCAGCATCATCCATCAATATCATCCATCAATATCATCCATCATCATCACCCATCATCATCATCATCAGCAGTCATCATCAGCATCATCAGCATCATCCATCAATATCATCCATCAATATCATCCATCATCATCACCCATCATCATCATCATCACCAGTCATCATCAGCATCATCATCATCACCATCATCAGCATCATCCATCAATATCATCCATCAATATCATCCATCATCACCATCATCATCATCATCAATCACTAGTCATCATCATTATAACAAGTCATCATCATCATTATAACCAGTCATCATCATCATTATAACCAGTCATCATCATCACCAGTCATTATTATCATCACCAGTCACCAATCACTACCATTCCAATCATCAACCATCGCCAGTCATCATCATCGCCAGTCATCATCATCATCATCACCAGTCATCATCATCACCAGTCATCATCATCATTATAACCAGTCATCATCATCATTATAACCAGTCATCATCATCACCAGTCATTATTATCATCACCAGTCACCAATCACTACCATTCCAATCATCAACCATCGCCAGTCATCATCATCATCACCAGTCATCATCATCATCATCACCAGTCATCATCATCATTATAACCAGTCATCATCATCATTATAACCAGTCATCATCATCATTATAACCAGTCATCATCATCACCAGTCATTATTATCATCACCAGTCACCAATCACTACCATTCCAATCATCAACCATCGCCAGTCATCATCATCGCCAGTCATCATCATCATCATCACCAGTCATCATCATCACCAGTCATCATCATCATTATAACCAATCATCATCATTATAACCAGTCATCATCATCACCAGTCATTATTATCATCACCAGTCACCAATCACTACCATTCCAATCATCAACCATCGCCAGTCATCATCATCATCATCATCATCATCATCATCACCAGTCATCATCATCATTATAACCAGTCATCATCATCACCAGTCATCATCATCATGACTTGTCATCATCATCACCAGTCATTATTATCATCACCAGTCACCAATCACTACCATTCCAATCATCAACCATCGCCAGTCATCATCATCATCATCATCATCATGATCACCAGTCATCATCATCATTATAACCAGTCATCATCATCACCAGTCATCATCATCATGACTTGTCATCATCATCCTCATCACCATCATCAATGCCATCATCATCATCATCACCAGTCATCACCATCACCAGTTGTCATCATCACCAGTTGTCATCATCAACATTATAACCAATCATCATCATCACCAGTCATGATCATCATCATCATCAATCACTGTCATTACCAATCACCAACCATCATCAATCACCAATCACTACCATTCCAATCATCATCAACCATCGCCAATATCATCATCATCATGATGAAAAGTATCGGTGGTGCCTCTGTACATACATTTAGCAGCATCTTTTGTTATCATTTCACCATCACAGTTCTTGCCATTTCTGATGTCACCATGACTACTGTAGTAGTACTACTCTGTAATTGTCGTCATCATTTAATCATCAGAAGTTTAATTCACATGTCAATTTCAACACCACCAATATCACAAGCACATGTGACACCAAACTGAAAAGTAAATAGAGCCTAATTATGGGATAGAAGTCTCACTTGACCTTGTGCAAGTCATGGGTTGAAGGTGAAGGTTACCTGCAGACAACAAGGACACCAGCAAGTGTTACAGCGTAGAGGTCGTGACAAGTGCATCACTTCACGATTCTGGTTGTCTTTGATCTTCATGTCAAAGGGTCTTACAGCTCCGCAGCAGCACAGCACACAGCAACAGTTGTCTGCAAACAACACAAGTCTCCATACACTGTCTCCCATCTCCTGTCAATACCATTCTCTGACACAAGTTCAGAACTACATTCACGGGGATGATAACAATACTAAGATAAGGCCATCATAGATCATTAATGATCCAATTTCTTTAAAATGCGTTAGGTATTCCTCTTTTTTAATTTACTGGTAATGTTTTTCCAAATTAACTGTTCAAGATATGTTGCACCTCAACTGTTGACAAAAGTGATTTACATGGAGCATAACGTTTTGTTGGAAATGTTTATAGCATATTTAATCCAATAATGTTAATCTGTTGCTAATGACAACATATCATGTATATATACCGTATTCGACATAATAAGCGCCCCGCTCTAATAAGCGCCCACGGCGATATTTGCTAATATATTGGCCAGTGAACAAACCTAATTAGCACCCCTTCTGATTGATCAATGTGCACAAGACTTTTATATTCTCGTATAATATGCACTCGTGTGTTATATGCACACTTAATTATGGGCAATTAAATTCTGGAAAAACATATCTGTCGTACATAAACATTTCAGGCTGTCAGCATAAACCACGAAATTTATCTTTTAACTCTGTTTTTTTTTAACTAAAATAATATTCTAATAACAGCCCCCTATTTCTAATTTTGAGAGCGCCCTGGGCACTTATTACGTCAAATACGGTACCTCTCATCACTTGGTTGTAGTCACTCCAGCTTGATAACGGTGTAAGAATCTACATACAAACATTGCTAAATGCAATAAACCACAAGTTGCATATCCATTTCATGAACTCAACATCTGCCTTTGTATCAAGTCATTTTTTTATGTTGATCTATGTTGAAGTCGGACTGAATGTCTCCCAGGACCTCTGTACATACCTTCCTTAGCCCTGTACACCGTCTGGCCCAGGGTGTTGCACACCTCGTACTTGTTGTTTCTCTCGCACCCGGTCACAGCTGGAACACAGTCACTTTACTACAGACAATAGGCAACTATTTCAATCGGGGAATAAAATAACATGTTTGAGAACATTTTTCTTTTCTATCCAACAAGTCTGTAACTAATTTCAGTAACGCAAAAACCTTGCAACTTCATTGAGGATCAAGCAATCTTATTTTGACTCACCATTCCAAAAACAATGTTCCTATTTCCTTAATCAATTTCACCTGGCCACCAATTCTTTTAAGGAATCATTTATAGAAATATGTTCATAATAATTGCATTTTCATTTCAACAAACCTTCTGTGTAAAAAAATAGGTCTATGAACCAAATGACACATCGCCATATTATCGTTAGGACATTTGACAACTATCAGTCAATCAATCTCCCATGATACAAAACCATCTTAGACATGAAACACTGTGTACAAAATGTTACATACAGTCAAGTCTCGTTTATCTGACACTCGTTAATCCGACAATCTGCTTTATCCATCACAAATGATGGGAACCGATTAAATCAGTGCTATTTAGACCCATTATTCCGACAGTCTCGTATTCCGACAGTCTCACACTCCGACTCCGACACACCTAATTTGCAAGGAATTGCTGAAATCACTCATTAATCAGTCTCGTTAATCCGACACAGTGATTAGCGTACTCTTTGGTCATCAGTCCGCAAGTACATAGCCCTGTGTTTTGATGCGAGACGAGTCGGCGAGTAGCTGCATATTTAAATGGCTGCAGAGATAAACTTGCTTAATAATAAACAATTACTGCTTTAAATAATACAAGTTCTCGCTACCGCTGTGGACATCCATTTACAGGTCACGTCAGAACGACCATTCGCGAACTTTGACAAAACCAATGAAATTACTAACAGGAAGTCGACATTAGCCACTAAGAAAGCAGCTTTCTAAGCATTGCGGCACTAGTTTCAAATTGGCGACTTCCATTCCAGACTATGCGTTAAAAAGTATTTTAAATCAGTCATTCAGTCTGTAACAGTAGTTTTGTGTTAAATTTTAGAGGTTGCATGATTAGAAAACATATTCCCCGGACAATGTAACACAACAATATGAATATTTCATTTTGTTATTACAACATGTTTGAATCGTTATTATCGTGTGTAGTTGTCCAATTTTTTATCACAAACGTTGATAATACCTAATTTCGTTTATCTGATATACTTGTTAATCTGACATAATCATATGCAACCAACAATGTCGGATTAACGGGACTTGCCTGTATGTTACAAGTGTAACAGTAGTGTAAATTATTTAGTTGTGATTACTACAAATCCAAACAGAAGCACGCCAACAACCCTCAAAAACACCTTGTAACTTGGGAATTTTGAATGTTTTATGTTGATGATGTAATGTTTTGTTTGTTTGCTGTTTAACGCCACTCTCAGCAATATTTCAGCTGTATGATACAGCTATATGATCGCTATAGGCGACAAACAGGTTCGGGTTGTCTGCCACGCTGACTTGGTTGATGCATGTCATCTGTCCCAAAGGCATAGATCGTTGCTCATGGTGTCAGTCACTGGATTGTCTAGTTCAGATTCAATTATTTACTGACCGCCGTCATATAATCGGAATGTTGCAAGCAAACAAACATACAAACAGAATTCTTTTTGGTAGGTCCAATAAGGGTGGCGTAACAACAAACGAACAACCAAAGTTATTAAGGGGCACCCGGGTTCGATTCCCGATATGAGTACAATGTGTGAAGCCCATTTCTGGTGTCCCCCGCCGTGATATTGCTGGAATATTGCTAAAAGCGGCATAAAACCGTACTCACTCACTCACTATTAAAGGGCAGCACTGTATTGATTCATGTTGAATGAGAACAGGGGCTCTTCATGTCTTAAATTTGGTAGTTCTTTTATATATTCAATAACTGAACATCAACGATGTAAAATATAAAAGAGAAATATCTAAAGCAGGAATCACACCACCAATGTTGTTATGATCACGATTATTTGATGTAGTCAGTTTGTCATGATCACTATTACCGTATTTTCTTGAGTATAGTGCGCACCCATGTATAATGCGTACCCCCCTCTAGTGGGTTCAGTATTTTGGAGAAAAAAAAATCCGAATACCAAGCGCACAAAATAATTACACCGTACCCCTTCAGCGAAGTCCGGCAAACGAACAGGTGAATTTGAGATAAAAAAATCACCAGACATGTTGATTTACCGTTTAAATTTATTTATTTATCATTATTTATTTATTTATTGTTCTGCTAGGCATTGTTTTATATCCAGGGATTACGATTACCTTGTGTATTTTCTCGTAAACTAAGCTGGAAACAGCAATCAGCTGTACACACGTTTTCTTGGAATGGACCGGTGATTCGGTCAAGATACACCCAATGATATAACTTCAAAGGATTTTTATGCAAGGATTGTATCTGAAACTATTTTTTTTTATCAGGAATAATATATTCCAATATCTTGTTAATTTATATGCAGCCTTTACTAAACATATTTAAAATAATAATAACCCTAAGCGAAGCAGCTGATCGCAATTCCCGGGTATTATTTTTTACATTGAACCAGTCTGACCAGTCACCGTCAAGGCTCACGCGCACGTGATCGCGAGAATTACATGTTGACATAGAATCGTCAAACAAAAACAAAGATGACTTTTAACGAGTCAAAGTATGGCATTTATGATATATGTATCCATTCTCTGTCAACTAAAGTTTGTTTCAAGGCGTCAATAGCGGTATTCTGACCGTGGTTGCTGTTAATAACAGTGAGTTGTGCGATCTTCCGATCGCTTCACACACGATTTTGCCGAAATTAATAAAAACAATATTAAAAGGAATTTTTAATAAAATTAATGAAATAAGTTACAAACATAAGTCCAGATATACAAAGAACACTTTTTATAGCCAGACAGTGTAATTACATGATTAATTTGGGTACTTCAGTATGGATTTGTTGACATGGTATTTCCGGTGTTTCGTGCTCACAGTAATGTCTTTCCATGGGGGAAAAATAACATCCAAACTCATGATTCGTGTATAATGCGCACCCCCTTCTTCACAGCTGTTTTTTTTTTTTTAAAAAGTGCGCACTATACTCAAGAAAATACGGTACTTGATCTAGTCAGTATGTCACATGATAATAATGGCTATTTGATCAAGTCAGTGTTTCATAATAATGATTATTTGATCTAGTCAGTTTGTCATAATAACAATTTGATCAAGTCAGTTTGTCATATGACAATAACGCCTATTTGGTCTAGTCAGTTTTTCATAATAACGGTTATTTGATCAAGTCAGTTTGTCATTATCATGATTATAACAATTAGATATTGTCTAGTTTGTCATGATCACAATTATTTGATCTAGTCAGTTTTTCATAATAACGATTATTTGATCTAGTCAGTTTGTCATAATAACAATTTGATCTTGACTAGTTTGTCATGATCACCACGATTATTCTATCTAGTCAGTTTTTCATAATAACGATTTTTTGATCTAGTCAGTTTGTCATGATCATGATTATTTTATCTAGTCAGTTTGTCATATGATAATAACAACTATTTGATCAAGTCAGTTTTGCATAATAACGATTATTTGATCTAGTCAGTTTGTTATGATCACGATTATTTGATCTAGTCAGTTTGTCATGATCACGATTATTTTATCTAGTCAGTTTGTCATATGATAATAATGCCTATTTTATCCAGTCGGTTTGTCATAATAACAATTATTTGATCTAGTCAGTTTGTCATGATCACGATTATTTGATCTAGTCAGTTTGTCGTGATCACGATTATGCAAAATCGGATGGTGCAGTTTGTGAAACTTTTTAAAAGAATGGAAGGAACAGTATTGCTAGTATATGAATGCTACCATGCGTTCAGTGTTACCTACCTTCAAATACTTCTTTCTTCTGTTTGACGAGCAGCTGGTCTATGCCGACCAGATATTCCAGCCCTGGTGGACAGTTGACAGGTGCTTGTGCCTGAGCCCAACCCCCAGGCCCTCCCACTGGGGGCACTGTAACATACAGACATACAATGTAAGGGCAGTGAAATTGGGTTTGCATGTATATACTAAGTGCCATGCATCTGTGTGTGTGTGTGTGTGTGTGTGTGTGTGTGTGTGTGTGTGTGTGTGTGTGTGTGTGTGTGTGTGTGTGTGTGTGTGTGTGTGTATGTATGTATGTATGTATGATCGAACGTGTATGTGTATGTGACTAATGTTGTTTCTCTGTACTGCTACCCCACTGAGATACCATGCTGCAGTTTATCTTGGATACCCCACTCAGTGTACAGATGTGTTTCTGTCCGAATGACAAATGACCGCTTTGGTCCGCTAGATTTCATTTCAAAAGACACAATGGTGAGATTCACTATATGCCTTTCTGCACAAACTTCTCCTTATCCATGTGGCCCAGTTCACACACAGTTTGAGAGTAACGCAAATGACTGGTAAATTTAGACTTCTTCTAATAGTATACTGCAATCAGAATTAGAATTATTTTTTTTACGATACGCAGTCAGTATGTACATGATGTAATGCTAGTCTGAGTGGATACCAGCCTTTGGTTATTACAAAACTGCTAATACGACTTGTCGAAAACACAATACATTATTGGATACAGTAAGTATATCTTATCACCGGCTGAAACTCGCGATGCATTTAAACATGGATGAATGATGGCATCTCTACGACAGACACAGCATACACTACCTCCAGGCACTGGTTGCATCCCTATTGCCTGGCCACCGGGCTGGGCTGGGTACCCTGGCTGCTGTTGCTGGGGGGGCTGACCAGGTTGCTGTTGAGGGTAGCCAGGTTGCTGTGGAGGGTAGCCAGGCTGCTGTGGAGGGTAGCCAGGCTGTTGAGGGGGGTAGCCAGGCTGTTGAGGGGGGTAGCCAGGCTCTGGTTGAGGCATGGGTGCACCTGGTTTTCCTTCTGGAACAATGATATCGACCTGCTGCGGGGCTGCGTTAGGGTAGGGTGCGGACATCTTGAATCTGGGTACTGATGACTACCTCCTGAAATAAACATAATTCAAAGTTAACATGGTTACAGCAGGTTTTGGGACAGTGGGGTAGCCTAGAGGTTAAAGTGTTCGCTTGTCACGCCGAAGACCCGGGTTCAATTCCCCACATGGATACAATGTGTGACGCCAATTTCTGGTGTCCTCCGCTGTGATAAAACCATACTCACTCACACACTACCGCAGTGTGATATTGACAAGATATTGTGTCCTAAACGTATATAAATGAAAATGGACACAAATACTTGACATTGCTGGGGTATGCAAAAGGTCATAGCTGTTTGATACATAATATATTAGTGACCCACCAAGGGGCTAAGGGACCTTATGGATGAAAAATCACATTTTGACTTTTCATTATATTTCAAAACTACAGCATCTTCAGAACACAAAAATACAATTCACAAGCTTCAATTCATTTTTATTACAGTGATACATGAGATCACACATCACTGAAGTAAGTTGATGTCAAATATTCATGACGTCAGAGCACAATTGTATCCCAGCACCCATAAGGTCCCTTTCCTAAAGGTGGGTCACATTTATCGAACTTCCAAATTTGTATGTACTCCTTTTCTACACTGATAAGAAACAAATTATGTGTTTGATATCTTTAACCTAACACTGAAATCCCAATCCATAAGGCTTCTGAGTATGTAAAATGATATACATCACAAAGTAGACACAATTTAAGGATAACAACTTCTTTAATTACTGTGAAGGGGACGTTTCAGTATAGATCCTTATAATGTCAAGCAAGACATCTCTGACCATATCAACCAGCTCAACACAACGCCCCAACCTGACAACTTCTCCTCACTCCACACTGCCACGACCCAGGCCAACAACAAACTGCACACTAAGTCCAAGGCCAACCACATCAAGAAGTTCCAACACCTCCAAACCAACAATCCCTAGTCTAGCACAAGTCACCTTAACAACAAACTGCACACTAAGACCAAGGTCAACCACATCAAGAAGTTCCAACACCTCCTAGCCAACAAGCCCCAGACTAGCTCAAGTCACCTTAACAACAAACTGCACACTAAGACCAAAGCCAACCACATCAAGAAGTTCCAACACCTCCTCGCCAACAAGTCCTACACTAGCACAAGTCACCTTAACAACAAACTGCACACTAAGACCAAGGCCAACCACATCAAGAAGTTCCAACACCTCCTCGCCAACAAGCCCCAGACAAGCACAAGTCACCTTAACAACAAACTGCACACTAAGACCAAGCTCAACCACATCAAGAAGTTCAAACACCTCCAAACCAACAAGCCCTAGACAAGCACAAGTCACCTTAACAACACACTGCACACTCAGACCAAAGCCAACCACATCAAGAAGTTCCAACACCTCCTCGCCAACAAGCCCCAGACAAGCACAAGTCACCTTAACAACAAACTGCACACTAAGACCAAGCTCAACCACATCAAGAAGTTCAAACACCTCCAAACCAACAAGCCCTAGACAAGCACAAGTCACCTTAACAACACACTGCACACTCAGACCAAAGCCAACCACATCAAGAAGTTCCAACACCTCCCAGCCAACAATCCCTAGTCCAGCACAAGTCACCTTAACAACAAACTGCACACTCAGACCAAAGCCAACCACATCAAGAAGTTCGAACACCTCCTTGCCAACAAACCCTAGACTAGCAGAAGTCACCCTAAAAACAAACAACACCACCAAAAGACTGTTGTCAAACTCAGCCAAACTTCAGCCTTGCTTGACAACGGTATAAGGATCTATACCGAGACTTTGCCTGTCTAGTAACTAAAGATGTTATCCATAAATTGTGTCTACTTTGTCTTCCATCAACTTCTACGTAATGCCTATCAAACAATTGATAAACATAAGGAAGAGAATTCATGAATGTCAACTTCTATGTCATGAGGAACACAAAGTTATGGAGTATACACATAAATTCTCTTCCTTATGTGTATCACTTCTAAATGCTGTTACAAAGAATTGATTACATCAGAAAATCATTCAGGAATCAAGTGGAGTGTGCCACCAGTCGCCAGTCTTGGGGCCCCAGACAATATTCATGCCTTGGACCCCCAAAATATAATTCTCTTTGCATGCTTGTTTGCTTGCAACATTCCAGCTTTCTGATGGCAGTCTGGGCCTGCCAGTGCAGTGACTGACATCGTGAGCATCGATCTGTGCGGTTTGGATATGATGACATGCATCAAACAAGTCTGCAAGCCTGACCACCTGATCCCGTTGTTCACCTCTTACTTTGCTTACGACATATAAACTGAGGAGAAAACGTGTCTACAGTTGATTCTGATTTTTTTGCTAATACTTTACCATGTTTACAAGAAGAAACACAAGGTAGTCTTAATATCTGCATATAAAACAATGCCTTGTATACAGTCAGTACAACTGAAATTCTAATTCATCATGTCTAATGATGTCTTATCACAAATTTCATATTTTCACAGACCAAGTTTGTTTTCTCCTGTTTGTTCAACTGAAGCGATATCATGAAGATTTTGACTGCTCACTATATATGGAATATACGGCAATTATTTACGTAGCTTGTACCCGAGAATTGGGGTGCATTCTACGCAAGTACACCTCACACAAGAAAATACAGTATGTCGCCACATTCATTTTTATTGACCTTTGCTTTTTCTTCAATTCCCCGCCATCATCCACATAATTTGGTCCAAAGAATCCGTAATACAAAAAAACACATTGTTCTGGCTTTACAATTTATTTCCAAATGATTTTTACCATCTTTCTCTGAGTGAGTGAGTGAGCATGGTTTTATGCCACTTTTAGCAATATTTCAGTAATATGATAGGAAGGGACACCATAAATGGGCTTCACATATTGTACTCATGCTGCTGGGAATAGAAGCCTCACCTTCAGTGTGACGAGCAAATACTTTAACCACTGGGCTTCCCGACAGACCCCATTCTCTGAGAACCCTTGTGTCATTTATAATATAAGTGTTATTTCATTTGACTGAGATATTTCATGTCCTTAAATGTCTCTTGTTTAATGCCACACTTGCCAATAATCCAGCTATACCACATGTATATGATGGCTGTCTGTAAACAATCAAATCTGGACCAGACAATCTGGTGATTGATATTGTGAGCAACGATCGATGCGGCATTGCCATCGGGGTAAGATGATATGCAATTAACAAAGTCACTGAGCCCGACCACTCGATCAATTAAGTCACCTTATACAACCAGAATGAATTACTGGTGACCAACTGGGATCGGAATCACCCTGGGTCACCATCAAGGAAAATGGACGCACATTGCTACACTATCTACTATCGAGAATAAGTTACTGGTGACCAACCCGGATAGGAATCACCCTGGGTCACCATCAAGGAAAATGGACGCACATTGCTACACTGTTTACTTAGTGTGTCATGTCATATCGGCCTGACTGTCAGTCTTCCATCAAACATATCTCTTCATGAACTGCACCCGACAGTTTTCTTAGCTGGGTGACACATATATCTTCCTTTCAAAATGCATCATGCATACATGTTTTCATAAATACCTTATAAATAGTTGACATAACAATCTTGTCATCTCACACTCATCATAGCTAACGCCCATAAGCACGATAAGTGGTCACATTCATAAAATTCATACATACCATTGTGATGTTTTTTTAAAAATTGTGCACTATAATCAAGAAAATATGCAACTTGAAAACAGAATATAATTTGGGGGAAATACGTCTATAAATGAATGTTAGACCGTACACATATCCTGCCATACGTATTTGATGTTTTCTAAATTATTCCCCACCATAACGTGGCTATTTTCATCCGTACATAAGCCGATACGGCCTTTATCTGCAGCCCTGTCATACATACCATTGTGATGTACTGTAGGGTCGAGTCTGTAGAGGTTACCCAGTAAAGAATACTGTTTATCCAAAATAAAATCCAAACTTGTATACAAAAGGTTCACACAGTGGACGTTTCTATCCCAAGTGAAAGCACCTATTTCTAAATCTTTGTCGTCAATTTGACATGAGCTTCTTCAGTGTTTGAAATGGCATCACACTATATGAAACCAACCAACCGGCTGAAGGCTTCAAGATCAATGTCGATACTGACATGTACAACATTAACCTGCTATAGCTGATGTAAAGTCGGATGACAACACTGGAAAAGGGTGTTATGTTGCTTAGATACAAAACACACTCTTAAACAGATAGATACAGCGCTTTGTGTAAACATCAGCTTTTGAGAGTTATTTGCGATGTAAACGTTGTCTGTTTCAATGATGACGTGCTGTAACTATTTGAACGTACATGTCCTTAGCACAAAGAGGAATGACAAGGACAGTATTACATAGCATGTCACCATGCTTGTGTGGAGATGAGAGATCGACAGTGTCTAGTTTTCTGTCGTATATAACAGTGCATGTCACCATGCTTGTGAGGAGATGAGAGATCCACAGTGTCTAGTTTTCTGTCATATATAACAGTGGATGTCACCATGCTTGTGAGGAGATGAGAGATCGACTGTCTAGTTTTCTGTCGTATATAACAGTGTATGTCACCATGCATGTGAGGAGATGAGAGATTGACAGTGTCTAGTTTTCTGTCGTATATAACAGTACATGTCACCATGCTTGTGAGGAGATGAGAGATCGACAGTGTCTAGTTTTCTGTCGTATATAACAGTGCATGTCACCATGCTTGTGAGGAGATGAGAGATCGCCAGTGTCTAGTTTTCTGTTGTATATAACAGTGGATGTCACCATGCTATTGGGGAGATGAGAGATCGACAGTGTCTAGTTTTCAGTCGTATATAACAGTGGATGTCACCATGCTATTGAGGAGATGAGAGATCGACAGTGTCTAGTTTTCTCTCGTATATAACAGTGGATGTCACCATGCTATTGAGGAGATGAGAGATCCACAGTGTCTAGTTTTCTGTCGTATAGAACAGTGCATGTCACCATGCTTGTGAGGAGGTGAGGAGATGAGAGATCG